CTTTTTACCTTCACATTTAGAAAATATGTTAGAAGATTCACTATCGACAAATGAATCATTTAAGTACTGGGTCAGGTTAATAAATCTAAGATGAATAATTACACAAGCGTAGTGTGATATAATGTGTTCATTATTCGATATGATTGAAATCGATAAACAATGAAGATGAAAAGGAGAATACACCCGAGCTCACTTCGTGCCTAGAGTCACTAAAGGAGCTGCGCTTAGAGTATCGGCACTCCGTTCCCCAACATTGTCGTGGGCGCCGCCATTTTGGGTCTTGTGCAGAGCAAACGCAACTGCCGATCGTCATGATTCAAAAGTGCGACTTCCTCAGCATTAAATACCGTGTCAGGAAGCTGATGCAATAATGCTTTGCTATGTCGCGGACTGTTTAAACATTTGTGGAGGACGGAAAAGCGTTTTCTGTGATTTTAGATAAAGCTTCAGATAACTGGGAACCATGATTTTAAGCCACAATATGCCCAAGTGTCGTTACTCTGAAGCGTAGCTTATTTAATGACACTATTCATGCCCTTGTTCAAGGAGCTTGTAATATATCTGAAGGGGCCATGACGCAAGCCCCGTGGGCTCCACAAGCCACCACCTTTTGACGCCTGCCTCTTCCTCATTGTTCCCGCTAGTGCCACTAAATTAGCTACGCTTCAGAGTAGCGACACGTATATACTTGACCATATTGTGGCTTAAAATCATGGTTGCCAGTTATCTGAAGCTTCATCTGAAATCACAGGAAACGCTTTTTCGTCCTTCACAAATGCTTAAACAGTTCGCGACAAAGCAAAGCAATATTGCATGAGCCTCCTAACACCGAATCTAATGCTGAGGAAGTCGCACTTTTGAATCATGACCATCGGCAGTTGCGTCTGCTCTGCACAAGCACCAAAATGGCGGCGCCCTCAACAATGTAGGGGAATGGAGTGCCGATACTCTAAGCGCAGCTCATTTAACGGCTCTAGTTCCCGCGAACCTCCTTTCCCCTGACTGAAACTGAAACTAAATATGAATAATTACACCATTATTATAGCTTATTTAGTTATAACCAACTACACAGGATCAGAGGAGGAAGCGGCCGGGTAGGAGAAACGCGGGTTTTATGTGTGACCATTCTAACCGTCTTAGAAGGGAAAATGCCAGCTTGTGCTGGTTTCAAAAAGACGATCCAAAGAAAAGAAGTGGCACGCTGTGTTCTTTGTGATTGTGCGTCTAATTCATTAACAGGTACATTTGAAGATCCACGATGGACGTCGATCGTCTTGAGGTAATGTAACGTATTAACATTATATAAATAATAAACATAATGAAGGACTGAACGACTCCATTTTTTTAATTCATGTAATGTAATATGGCGGTAGCCTATTGTACTTATTGTTGATGAAGAGCAAAATGAGGTGACGAGGTAATGATTAAATGATGAGGCTCTATAAGGACGACGACATTAGTGGGTATCGATCCACAACGTACAGTGCCAGACTTGTTTCACGTATCGTGTACCCAAAGACTTTTCTTTACCCGCAAGAGAATATGGTAGAATCAATGAGGATGCTGCTTTACAACTGTACGTGTAACATGAAAACTGGACTGCGCGAAAATGCAGCTTATTCATTAATATGAAGGACAGATTTCTAGCAGCATCCCCTGATTAACTGCTTGGAAGAAATGGCCTCGTTGATGTAAAGTGTCCCCGTTCCTAAAGATTCTTATAGCCTACCAAAACCGCAAACGAGTATGAGGCGAAAAATAAAAAAAAGGAGCCGTGTGTGAAAGGTTCAAATCACTACCATAGCTTCTGCCACAAAATACAAGGGCAGTTACATAATACACAAAGAGATTTTTGTGATTTCGTTATATTTACACTCAAGGGCATTGATATCCAACGTATTCAGAGGGACGACACCAAGTGGCCAAACAACATAGAGCCTTTTCTACTCAAGTTTTACATGGAAGGCCGGACTTCCGCTGAAATTCCTCAAGTAGACGAGTTGTCCGATCGAATAAACTGCCATTACTTCCGATCTGCGAATCTCTCGATCTTCGTTCGTAGGCAATAGTACCATGATATCGAGGGGTGTGGCTCTTCATCCGCCGAACATTGCTTCGGGGGTGTTTTTCTCGTGGAAGATGGAGACCGTCGCGTGCTGCCAGAACAAGAAACTGGCGATTCTTTACTGAACTACTTCTTCCGTAAGCTTCAAGAGGGCTTTCTTCGTTTCACACACCATCTCTTCTGCTTGACCGCTAGTTGCAGAATGGTATGGTGCACTAATGTGGTGCCTGATGCCGTTTTTTATTTTTCTCAAAAACTTGTTTATTTTATTTTAAAGAAGATTCGGTGCGTTATCAGAGAAAAAATATTTTCGCTAGGCCAAAAGTGGGGAAAAGAGAGCGTAGAACGTCAGTGACGCGTTTGGACGTCGTGGCAGGCATCGTGTAAACTTCCAACCACTTAGAGTACGCGTCGACAATGACTCCGCAGATGCGGATACGTTTCGCCACCCACCGACTGAATAGTGGATCGTTTTCAGTTACTGTTCATGATGGCGCTGGACTCGAGGAAGGCTTTGAGTCTTTCCGCAAAGTTAGCCCAGGTGCCAACACTTTTGTCGAAAGCGGTAAGTGCTCGAAACGTCAACAACGTCGGTAGCAACGTGCTGTGCTTGACACTTGACGCTTACCATTTGCTAAGATGAAACTTGCTTGTTCGTTTGCCACGAGTCGTCCAATATGAGGTCATCACCGCAACTCCATTTCCCGACAAAACAAGTCTTCATTGTCCGCATGTCTATAGTTAGCAATCATGTGAACTTATAAATTCCCGAACGCTCATCACTTGCCGTCACTAAACGCCGCTCAATCATAGCGTCTTCATTGCAAATAAACGTCTTCCTATTTCTTCTGATGGTTTTCATCATAATCCTCCTAAGCTGTACTTACAACATAATGTGTGTCGGTACTTCCGAAAATATTGCAACGGCGTTTGTTTTCTGGGAACTATAATGTAACAACCTTTACAACATCTTCCGGATCCCGTGAAACACAATATTTCGTGACGTCACTTTTCAATCGTCATTATAAAGGCGAGGTAAATACCGTAAATCGCGAAGCAGTTTATTAGACGTCCGCTTCCACTGGTGTCTTGGAAGATTGAGCCTACTGAGCGTGCATTCCTGCAGAAGAGTTTTTCATTGACAGAATAAGTTGACACGTCAATCAACAATTGATTATTTCTTGGTACAGTATTCTTGGTAAGGTTTATTGCGAAAGCCTGTGCAAAAGCCGAACCGCATGTCCCTATATCAGCCTGACATTCTCGCATACATGAGTTGGCTGGGCCACGCTATTGAGCCAGCTGAGCACAGCTGGCAGCGACGCGAGAAAGGCCACGATGGGAACGTGATGGTGCTCGAGCCATCCCACCGTGAACCAATATTTCAGCCACCCCACGGGTGCATGTCGCCATCTATTGGTTGAACTAATGCCTTGTCCAAGATGGCTGCCGTGGGACCGCAGCCTTAAAGGGCCCATGAAACGATTTTTGGGTTGGGATAAATCATTTCAGATTGGGATTTTACTAATAGCACATCGTTCAGTGGACCAAAAGAAAAAAGGTAGAAAGTCAAAAGCCTGACTTTCAGTGCGAAAATTTGAAAACAGAGCGGACTATTTCGTACCTCCTCCCCTTCGCAACCTCTCTGCCTTTTCATTATGATACATCCGCGGTCCCAAAAGCGCGTCATCGGGTCCAAACTGACGTCACACGCAAGCGGACCTCACTTATTCCCTTCACCTTTAAGCTGACATTGTGGTGGAAGCTACGCGCTTGCCGGACCAATCAGCCGCCTCCCTTTCGTCACCTGACTTCATTCTCTGCAGCCACATTTGCCACGCTCACGTGGCAAGTGTGGCTGGCCCAACGAGCACGTAGCTTCAACAGCACTGTCAGCTTCGGAATGAACGGGGTGGGGAAAGCAACTTTTGTCTGAATTTTGAGCGACGGGCTAATCTTCTAGGGGGAGAATGGATGTGTCCGGGATTACGCAAACGAGAGTGCGAGCAAGAGGGGACTCCCCTTTTTCTTCTTCTTTAACTGTTTGGTGGAATGCGCGATTTATGAGTTGAGGAGGAAAGCTAAACAGGAAAAAGTTGGAAAAGCGTTTCATGACCCCTTTAAGTATTTTGTTGTATGGATGTAAAAATGTTCTTTACTTGTAATACATCTACAGGGCTTCTAATAGAAAAAAAAAGTTATAATTGTCAGGCTAAAAGTAATAATTCAGCAAACAATTTTAGAAAAGTGCTAATTTTTGTGCTTTTTGTTGAATTAAAAATATTTTAACAATAAAATTTGCATAGTCATGACAACATAGCAAGCACAATGCTGTTAAAATTGCATAAAATAAATTGTGAAGCGTTTCGAAAAAAAAAATCAGATTTTTACTAAATTATTGAATGATGCCTAGTTCTATGCCCATTTTAAAATTTAAAACCACGCTCACGCCATTTTTTTTTTTTTTTCGGCGAAATTGCTTTAGGAAACGGTTTAGCACCTTGGGGTAAAAAGTCATGGATTTTCTTTTAAAAGTCGGAAATGGTCGAGCGCAGCGTCTGGGACGTTTGACATGAAATGACCCATCAACAATGTAAAAAGTGGAGAGGTTATAGAAGAGGAGGAGGCAGGCAAAAGTGGAAAGCGCGAAGTGTACGTTGGCCTTTAAACATTTTACTAGGTTCTGAAAGAGAAAGAAAGAGAGATAGAGAGAGAGAAAAAAAAGAAGCTTTACACTATAGTCGGTGACAAATCAAGAAGGTAGGGCGAGGGAAAAGAAGGTGGGAGAGGAAGAAATGTACGCAACGCTGGCATGGGAAAAAGAAACCCCCTCCCCTCGCCAGCGTTGCGTCCGCTTCCTCCTCCCTCACCTTCCTTTCTTTCGCCCTACCTTCTTAACCTGCAACACACTATAGTTCCTGTGCTTCGTCGGCAGCCTGATCAATGCGGAGAAGCACCTCATGGTTCCCGATGAACAAGTCGATTCCTCCCAGGAACCGTCATCGGAGGAGTTATTTGACTTTTCTAAGTATCACAGCTACAAAGCGGTGAGCGGTTTTAACTGCCTTTACTTGGCGTCACTTGAGAGATGCACGCTTTTATGGGGAAGAGGACAAAGACGGAAAATCTCGAGAGCCTACTTACGGTGAAATGAAAGTGACATGCATGCCCCTTGCCGAGGAGCATGCTGGCTTTCGTTTGGATGTATGGGTCAGCCTTGGGGGGGCGGGGGGGGGGGGGGGGGTCTGCAGAGAGTTTTGACGTCAAGAGACGTTACTTAGATCTATTTTGTTGGCCTAATACGTTTGTCATTTCACCCAAAACTCAGCATTTCCTCCCCCCCCCCCCCCCCCCCCCCAAAAAAGAAATGTTGCCCTTGGGGGCTGATTGGGGGGGGGGGGGGGGGGGGGGGGGGGTCGGCCTCTCTTTCTCTTCCCCTTCCCCCTTAAATGTGCCTCTAATACGCAGGCTCCCTCAGTCAGATCTCCCTTTGCGTTACTGTCGTTGTTTCTTCGTATTAATTCCCCTAACTCTACAGTACTCCAATGTATCGCGGCGATCGGCACTTGACCACTTGTCAAGTATCCATGAGAACAGCTTCGATTGCGTCTATCTGGGGGACTCCCGGAAGCGCTGGCGGCGATAGTGCTTGACTCAAGTCTTGCTTTCCAGGTGACGCGGTCACTCTCGGCGTACGCAAAGGCCCACAGTTTCGTACAGCTGCAGACGATCGGACAGACTCACGACGACAACGATATCGTCGCCGTTAGGGTACGCCACGGACACTACACATACTCAACCATTTCAGATATTGCATGGCTCATTATTTCCTTTCCAAGGAGGAGCACCGTGCGCACTGTACGCTTCTACCACCGCGAATCACGAGCCTCGTGAAACCGTTTGTTTTTATGACGCATTCTCAATTACTTGGTTGGTTGAAGAATCTTTCTCCCTTTCAGTGCGCGAGAATAGGCTCGTGGCATCTTATTTAAGGCATCCATTGGTAATTTCAGCTCCAGAAATGAGAACCGCTCCTTGACGGTGTTCGCTCAATTTTCATATTAAAATCGCCAAACATGCCATAAAAAAAAAAAAAAAGCTTGGCCACAATTTTTATTTTGACTTAGAAAATAAACATGGTTGCTAAGTTTTTTTTTTTTTTTTTTTTTTGGTGGACTGAACAAAAACAAAATTGGGCCAGGAGCGGGGCTCCTGGCCCACTTCTTCGCCAGATCTCTTTCCCTTTCTCTTTCCCTAAGTTTGATGTGTGATGTAATAAAATTTAATAATCCATCTCTCCCCCCTCTGTTTACTATTTGCAGTTTCCCCGCCAAATTTAGCGGGGAAACTGAATTCGTGTGCAGGTCACGTGACATCAATTTCCCCGCTTAATTTCGCGGGACATGTACCGACGGGCGGACGGACGGACGGACAAAATTTTGGGATTGGGGGTAGCGTTTAAAAGCATTTCATGCTTTAAAAAAATAATAATAATGCGTTTTTATTTGTTTGTATCGAACACTGCGGGATAATTGTAGACTATAGCACCATAATGCCTGCCCTCCCATATGCCTGGCTGTTTTCCGGTGGAGGAACTCTTACGACTTACAAAAACGTATACGTGTCTTGTGCTTGTCCGTGATGCATGCAGGTCGCTAGAAGACAAGCGCTTCCCGTCATTCTCATTGACTGCGGAATCCATGCCAGGGAGTGGGTGACCATATCGGCCTGTATGTACATCATCAACGAGGTGTGTACACCGTTTGTGTTTCTCTACCACTCATTACTAGACGTATAGCCTGCTGCTCAATGTGCCTTTTTCAAGGACGGTTCTGCACATGTGCAGGCCTTCCCCTCGCAGCGGCGAAAGCTTGAACTTCGGTAGGCATCGGAAGAATGGTTGCACTACCTCTCCTGTCTCTTCCGTGACTCGAATCTGCCGCAGAGAAGGCAGGAAAGGTTTCGCAGCTCCCGTTCCATCCACCAACCGTAGTTGGAGTTTTAGCCACTTGGTGTCGTCTTTATGTGAAAAAGGTCCATTTGATCAGTCTTCAACTTGAGGCTTATTTATTTGCTTGTTCTGAACGTCGCTAACAATAGCTGCGATTACGCGTGCGACGAGGTCAACTGAATTCATCCTTCCCTTTTCCCATGACTTAACGCAGTCTCAGTCCTCGCCATGTGTATGCATTATTTCATTAGTCCTTCAGTAAGACTTACCGCGCAACATTAAGGTTGTTGTTTAATTTTATATCGATTCATTTCTTTTCTCTTACGTCCCCCTTTTATACTTCGCGTAATCACCAAAAGCAACGTTCTTGTATTAGTTGCACTTTCTGAAGTTGTCTTGAAATATCGATGACAATGCAAATGACTGAACTGCGACTTTCGCGTGTCCTCGGTTCTTTTGCTACAATTTTAGCGGCACTTTTTTTTGTACTTTTGATGGGCGAAAGGATAATAATAATAATAATGATAATAACAATAATACATACATACATACATACATACATGCATACATACATACATACATACATTTTATTGACTCAGTGGGACTATTAAAGAGGGATATGTTTGCGGGCACATCAAAGCCAGCGAAGGGCTTGTGGGATGACACCCTAAAAAAAATTAGAAAAGTCCACTTAAAGGGCAACTCCGCTTAATTTTAAAAAATTTTGAGATAGTGGCCGATTTTGCTTTTTGAAGCCCTCAAAAACAATCCCCAATCGTTTGTTTCGCAAAAAATAAAATATTTTTCCTGTAATTTTACTCTAGCCATGATCACAATCCGAAACCGAAACGGTGGCAAAGCCGGACAACATTGTATATTCGGCATCACTAAGCATGTACACCCACGTGATATACAAGGGGAAGAAGGAGCTCCCCTCTTATCAGGATCCTCCTTTGTGCCTCCTGGATTAGCACAGGCGTCGCTATTCTCCTCCCAGAAGATTATAGAAGATTAACCTACCACTCAAAATTCTTACAAAAGCTCTCCTCCTTTTACTTGGTGTTCAAAAGTATGCGATGTAACACAAGCCGCGCTCAACGAGGCGATCGGCTTATCAGTAGTATCAATAGTCGAGCGTCGGGCCGGCCGAGCACGTCACTCACGTCTTTTACGGCGCAGGCACCACCCGTGCTCTCCCCGAAAAAGAAAACAAAATTGAAAAAAAAAAAAAAAAAAAAAAGCTGTACATGCTTGATGACGTCGCGGACGTGCCGGGAGAAGGAATTTGGAGGAAGCGGAAATGCAGCCGGGCAGTGTTGTCTGGCCCGCACGTCTCATCCAAAACCAGCGGATTCGTGCTTGTCAAACTTTGACAGCGATTTTGATGAACTTCTAGGCGGAATTCCGTCGTAATATTTGCCATGGGGGTTTTGTAGATGATAACAAAGGGAACTGTATAGTTTTGCACTACTGGAAAAGAAGCGGAGTTGCCCTTTAAGTGATAAGGTAAAGGCCTTCAAAATGAGAACTGAAAGATAATAAAACTTTCCCCACCCCCCTTCCCCGCCCCAACCCCCTCCCCCCCCCCCCTCCCCCTTTCCCGATTGTAGCATAGACTACTAATTACGAAAAAAAATACAGCATACGAAAGCAATGTACATATTATGTAACAACGTAAATAGAATTAACACTTACAGACGCAAGTCCCAAATAAAGTGTAACACAATGCACGGAGACCGAAAAATGAACTAGAAAAAGAAGAGGAAACATTTCGAATCTGTGGTAGCTATAGCAACCAGCACCATCAGGATTGTCATAAACGCACACGGAGCAGGCACTAAATACTATCAAGGTTAAGACACTTGAGTTATTTTTTTAGAGTTTTCAGTGATGTGATATCATAAATATAGTCCGGGAGGGCGTTGAAGACACGTGGCACATAAGATTCGCGCGAGCATTTACCATACCGGGTGCAACAACGTGGCACTACAAAACGAGGAGAGCTGCGTAATGTGCGGGACGAATGTAGTGGTGTCTTGAAATCACTGCTCCAAAAATTACGAAGGAGGACGGTCTCAATAAAAAGTGAGCGGAAATTCGGCAGTTGAAGGCTTTAAAAAATGTCGGCAGTGGCAGAAAGAATAATAATAATAATAATAATAATAATAATCCTGCTCCGAAAGTGTAGACATTTTGAAATTAATACTTAAATTATCAAATAAAAAAAAGGGGAAAAAATAATCACGTAAACTTTGGGGGCTTACTATATACATCAGCGATCTTCAACAGGCCTGAACCACCCCCCGAAGCGAAAAAATTTAATGTGAATCGTGCTAGCGTGCAATTAATTGACCCATAGGCGTCCGCTTGCCCCAGAAACGCCCGCTGAGACGGTCGCAAAAGCGCCGACAAAATGCCTGTTGTGGTATCGTGCCCGAGCGTTTTAAAATGGCATTCGAAAACGTCCAGTGCGGAGGGTCGTATAATAGTGACTTCGAACATGTACCTAAGGTACATTTTTGTTAACACGTTACACACTCGTGCTCAAATGTGGCCATATCGAAATGGCCACTATACTTCGTTTTAAGTCCAGACGCAGCCAAGGCTACGAGCTAATGGCACCAATCAAATAGCGTCGAAAGCGCAAGTCACTGGGACTTTTTTGTTTACAATCCTTTAAGCGATGATCGAACACCTACAGAAACACGAGGAACACCATATAATGCGCTTTTGACGCTGTCTGCTCGGTTCCATCAGCTCGTAGCGTGTCGGCTGTGTCTGGACTTAATTAAAGATGAAACAAAGTACATATAGTATATTGCACCGAATAGAAATACGCAACAAGATACAGCAATTCTATACTCTGTTTCATACTTACTGTGCAACGCTGTCAAAGCTACTGGCGCGAGCGCGTGGCTTCATCTATGGTTTTGTTTGCGCGAGTACGCATGCAAATGATCAACGAGACCAAGCCCCATGCTCGCGCCAGTAGCTTTGACAGCGTTGCACAGTAAGTATGAAACAGAGTATAGGGGACGTTTGTGCAAGACGCGTTCTTTTGATGGATGACGATACCTGTTCGTTCTAGCTCATTGGTGCTGAGGCTCCTGGATCCAACATCTCGTCCATAGTGAATTCTTACGAGTGGTGGGTGATTCCCTGCCTCAACCCAGACGGATATGAGTTTTCTCGAAAAAAGGTACGCTTTAAATTTGTCACGTCGGTGAGCGTGAGATACTTGGGCCGCGAGTGCGAACATCGCACTCTCAGTGCACGTTGCATGGAACTATGAAACTGCTTCCCTCTTCCACACTAAAAAAAACAAAAAAAGTTTTTAATGCACGAGAGCCATATTATATACCTCCGCTCTTTTGCGCAATGCGTTCAACTGGATCTGAATTTAAATATATGTAGCATATGAAACCGCGCGCCTACTACCACAGGACAGCCTCATCGGTCACATCAACGAACACCGGCGTTGCCAAAAGTGGGGGTGGCCATCGTTGGCAGCGCTCGGACATTAACGAACAATATGTACCCGCGGTCCTCTTCACATAACAATCGTTGCTGTGTAAAAAAAAAAAAAAAAAAAAAAAAGCTTATGCCGCATTTGACTGCCTGGAAAGGACCCGGGTGCGCACGTTGTAATTTTCACAAATGGCGCGCAAGTAACTAGATGAGAAAAAAAAAAGTTGTAGTTAATATTTTTATTTATTGTAACATACATTAAAACGGCACTGAGGGCTGCTCTGGTGACGCATTTCGATGAGACAAGGGAAGAGAAAGTCTAGAATTATTTGGTTCCGCCGCGGATTGGTGTTAGTGATGGAACCAAACCTCAACCTTATACGACGAGATGGCTCGGCAGCAGTGGTCCGCGGAACCCAAGGAGTCGCAACGCAGTCGATCGTACTCAATCGCAAATGTCTTATCCTACGGTGGACTAAAGGTCAAAGCCACAGACTGCCAGGTGCAATCACATTACACGTTAAACTATGACATGCTTTACATTGATTAGGCGTGGACGAATAATGCTCCAAACAAAAAAGTGCTGCATCATTTCTGTAGCTTAGGCACTGCAAAGAGCCTGTATGTTGTGGCTTTCCTTGCGATGTAAAACTGGTGAGTCACTCAGTGCTCTTCGTTTCGAACCACTGTCTGCCCATCCCAATTAGACGCGGGCACCGACACGTACATTCAAGCCGAATGCCAGGCATTTTCTAAGTGGCTCGTGATTGGATCTGGTGGTCCGTAGCCTTTGCCTTTAGTCCATCGTAGGGTGAGACGAAGTATAGTTTCTTAATTCAGCGAGAAATATATATATTGCGCCAGCGGGCGCCCACAATCAGTGAAAAATAACGCCGTTCATTTTTCTTTCTTCGTGTTTGGATGAATATTTACACTGAAAGGGTAACAATAACGTAAGTCAATGACTCAATACCCTAATCACGCCTTTGTGAAAATTACAACGCGCGTAGTCAAGAGACTTTGTAATTCCTGTGGAGTCCGGTTAATCGAGCAGGAGAAACGTTTCAGGGCTCTTCTTCCAGTGACTGAGGAAGAGGCTTCAGTCCCGAAACGTTTTATGATTTTTAGTTCTGCTCGAATGATTACCCGGCGTTTACATTCCTTTCCGTTTTCATTTTTATTCTTGTATTTACAAACGGACTTGACTGATACTTTTTCCCGTGCTTTAGAACCGACTCTGGAGGAAGAATCGATCGCTCCAGTACAGTTTCAACGGAACTCGATGTGCGGGCACGGACTTAAATAGAAATTTCGACGTTTCATTTTGCAGTAAGTGAACCACGCTCACTATCGCACGTCTAAACATTAGCAAGGCGCTGTGTTGCATCGGCGAGGAGTTTAAGCGATCGTTGATTTGTTTGAAGCACATACGAGTAGGTCGAACTAATATTTTTATTTTGTTTGCGATGTAATAACCAATGTAATAACCGCTTGACCCTTCGTTTTTTTTTTTTTTTTTGTTTTTTTTTTTTTTTGTTTTTAACCTGTCGCGATACATTGTTGCTATCTGTTAGCTCTCCAACGAAACCTGTACGGGTTGCGGGGTGTTTCCTTGCTATGCTTTTAATTTAACAGAAATGTCAGTCATGGGATGTGTACAAACTTTATGATTATAACCTCACTCATTTACGATTTTTTCGCATATATATAACATCCTAGTTAACCAAAACGCCGCTATTTAACCAGAAAACACAATGAACACCCCCCCCCCCCCCCTTTTTTTCCCCCTTTTTTTCTTTTCTTTTTTTACGGCGGACGTAGCGCGATATGTCTGTCGTTATGAGAAGTTTTGCGCGAGTGAATTAAGTGTCACAATTGTTACGTACGTGACTCCGTGTTTTCGTGAAGGCGGCCAGGATGAAGCAGACCCCTGCAAGGAGACGTTCTGCGGCAAAGCCCCCTTCTCCGAGCCCGAAACGCACGCTTTTCGGGAGCTCGTCGCGGAGCTTCGGAACCGTATTGCGTTCTACTTCAGCCTGCACGCCTTCGGAGATCTCTGGCTCATTCCATACAGCTTCCGGGTGGAGAGGCCCCCGGACTACGACGAACTGGTAGCGTAACCTTTTGTTGGCGGCGGGGCTCTCGTTTTGATTGGGCTCTTTCGGACCCGGAGCTTTTTCATTGTCGTTCTAATTGTTACGAGTTCGATGCGACCTGATCTGGTGAGACATTGAAAGCAATCTGAGTTCGAGTTGGAAGGAATGTTTATACCGTTCTCTGAATTGTCAGATTGAGGGAAGCTACGTGCTTTCACTGTGTGAACACTCGTTCGATTGGGGTTGGTGGGGGGGAGGCATTGTTTGGACCGAAAGGTGAAATGCTCGCTCATGTATCGGCTCTTCTCCGAGTCCTTCACTGTACTTTGAGAAGAGGTCGTTAAACTTTGTATCTCGACTATCTCGCGCAGTACAACCTTGGGCAGTACATTGACTCGAGGATAGCTTGCCTTCAACGGGGCACGCGCAGCTGTCGCCATTTTGGCTCTGGACGGCGTAAAATTGCGATTATCTCTGGTTCCAGATGGCGAGGGCCACCCGCGCAGTCCGGGCTATTAAAACGCTCAGTGGGGAGACATACAAAGCTGGCCCTGTGTCTTCAATGCTGTGTGAGTATATGCGCAATTACATGACGTCCTCTTTCTAAGACCCATTGGAGCGAGCAGTCAACGCTACTCGCAGACAGGTCGAGAACATTTTATTGGCGACTTTAGCGAACCTCCAGTCTCGCAAGCTTACGATGAACCAACGCGTTTGTGAACTAACTGTAGTGCCGTCTCGTGTCATTGAGTAGCGTTGCTTGAAACTCTTCAGCGATACTGTATAGACCATTGCTCATCTTGTATTCTTACGTAGGTCAATACAGCTACGGGTATAATCGAAATAATACAAATGTGCATATATTCAGAGCTGTTAGAAGCTGCAGTGACATAAAAAAGGTTTGCCAAGTTTTTGTGTTTTTTTTTTTCGGCAGGCGCTAATTGCAGTGGACATTTAGGACACCGACCCCGGTGGGAAGGGGGGAGGGGGGGGGGGGTTATGTGACGCATGGTTAGTCGTGGTACGGGGCACGTCCTTGTCCAGCGAGGCTGAGGGGACGAACGGTGAAAGCTGGGAAGCTATGGCGGAAATTAAAAGTGATCGCTGAGCTCTGCGCCAAAACACGGGAAGATATATGAGAGTAGACGTAGTGCGGAAGGCCATTTTACGTATGTGGTGCATTTTTGCGCAAAAGCACCAGCGTGACTCCGAACCATCATTGGCGTGCACGGAAGGGGAACGCTTTTGCTGTTAGGGAGTTTTCGTAGATCGTTTTGGCCTTTCCGCAACGCTATCCGCTACCCGCTAGGAGACCCGCTAACAGAGGCATAGCGGAGACTCAAAAAAGGGCTTTCGTAGACCGTTCTCTGCGGGCTACGGTACTGCGATTATGACAGCGCCACTAGCGGTCGTAAAAAGCACTATATAAAACATTAAAGGCGTACTATTACTGCAACCAGATATTAGTTTTATCAGAGTGCCTCTTTTCGAACACAACACATGGTTAGTTTACGACTATGAATGTTAATTTTTTTTTCTGGATAAATTCTTCGTAGCACATCTTGCCAGCTTGCGGTTATCGCGCTTTGTCTAAAGCCAGATTCAGTTCGGCCAAGCCAATCCTCTCTTTGCCATCTCGCGCTCTTTTATGTTCGTGGACGCGTTCTCCGCCAATTCCCGAAGATGCAGCGGCACAGCGTTCTTGAGGACCAACTTTTATTGTCCAGTTTAAGTTGGAGTGAAATACTGGATGTGTACTTGATGTTTTCGGAGCCGCCAAAGCTTTGTTATGTTATTTCACTAATGTGCGCCACTGGTATGGTGTAGCTTTGGAAGTTGTATTCTATAAACGGGGAAACACTATTGTTCTTTTTTTTTTTTTTTTAAGGCGCTACTGACTGTCAGCAAAGATTTTTGTCTTTAGTCTTTAGACTTTATTTATTTGGCTCTGGAGAGCCGCGGCTCCGCGGAAAGGCACCAGCTTGTACCATGGAGTACCACGGTGCCGCGTCTAGTGAACATGATAATGTCATCAGTATATACATGCATAATGATGACGACATGGATTGTTGGTATTGGGGAGGATGGCAGTCCGATTCCCAGAAGTTCAGATTTCGTGGAGGCGGGTTAATTGGGGGGGGGGGGGGGGGAGGGGAGGGGAGGGGAGGGGAGGGGGAGGGGAGGGGGGGGGGGGAGAAGCGAGCTGGGGGATCTGGCGCGCCGTTCGATCGGTGCATGAAGGAGCTTCCGGAACACTATGGCGCTGTTGCTGACTGGGGTCCACTGCGGTCGAAGCATCAGGCTCCAAGGAGGTAGCCCAGTCAAAGGTAGAAGCTGCCGCCTCCGAGGCACCAGCGCTCAGATTGAGGCACCGCCATCGCCCGGTGTGTCATCCTCTCAACGTCGTCATCGTTGTGCTCTTTATTTATACGCGTATATATGTATAAATAAAATAAGATAGATAAAAAGACACACAATCAAAGGGCCAGCGTATCTCAAGATTCGCTATTTCGTAAGGCGCCTCCGCAACCACGTCCGCAACTCCGGAAGGCCTGCGCTAGATTGGCGCATGCGCAGTAGTTGCGGAGGCGTAGCGGACAACGTAGCGGAGGCGTAGCGGAGACGCCAGAACAATCTACGAAAACTCCCCAATGATGTCCGCACAGAGTCGTCCCACTTGGTCTTGCGAAAAATCGCGCATGCGAACCGAACTTGGACAGAACCATGGAAAACGTCAGTGCAAGACAGACTGACCCCCCCCCCCCCCCCAGGCACGTAGCCAGGGGGGGGGGGGGGGTGGCATGGGGCCCGCCCCCCCCCCCCCCCCCACCCCCGAAATTTTTTATTTTGCTGGGACCTTCCTCTCCCCCCTCCCCTTCATACAGCATTTTGTCATGGCCCCCCCGAAATAAAATCCTGGCTGCGTGCCTGCCCCCTCCCATTCTCCCATACTCGTCCTCTATGTTATTAGGGAGTTTTCGTAGACCGCGTTGCCCCCCTCCGCTAAGCGTTACGCAGCGAAGAAGTTGCTACTGCGCCTGCGCGCCGATAGCCTTGACTGTGGAGTTCCCGCTATCGTAGCGGGTTGCGGAGGACCTTGCGGGACGGCGAAAACGATCTACGAAAACTCCCTATTCTCCACAAACACCGTAAGTTAACCAGCACGCTCCATTTCCACGAGAGAAACATAAAAAGTTTTAGTAGATCGCTCCGATAACGACAACCGCTATTCCGCCGCCACCGCCTTTACGCATACATCGTATCGTTGTCAGAGGTATGGGAACGATCTATTAAAACTCCCTCTCGATCTGACGTTGACGTGTTTCATGACACGAAAACGCTTTCAGTTGTTATATTCCACACTTTCAGACCTGGCACCAGGCACGGCCATCGACTGGATGTACGTGAAGAAGTCTATCCGGATGAGCTTCACGGTGGAAGTTTCTGGCGAGAAAGTTGGCTTCTTGCTCAGCCAGAGCGAGATCGCGCGCACTTCGAAGCAGGTGTGGACAGGAGTGCTCGCCGTCGTTCAGTGAAGAGCTCCGGAGAGCTGGAAGGAACTGTTCAGCCGGGGTCACACTGTTCGTACATCATACAAGAGACAGTCTGCATAGAGATTCGAACGCGAGTCACCGCGAGATCCGTGCTTCGAATGCTGTGTGACCATGAATTCAAGAAGAAAACTTGGCACGCGGCACTCGAATCATGGATATTTCGGTGACTCGTGTTTGCAGACTGTTTTTTGTATCATGTATGAGCAGTGTGACCCCGGCTTTACTGCTCGCCATGTACAAACAAGATATCTTTCCGAGTATCATGTAAAATTAAAAAAAAAAAAAAAAGAAACAGCACACGGTTGACGTTCAAGTAAATAAAAACAAAAACAATTGCCAACCAAAAAAAAAGTTTTTTTTTTTTTTTGTTTTCAGCGAAAGAAAGAATGAAAGACAATAAATGAAGGTTGTGGAGAGTTTGATGCTAATACCAATTTTGAATAAGCATCCTAACATTCTCTTTTCCGCTCTGCATAGTAGCTGGTCAAGAGGACTATCAGACTCAATTTATTTATTGATGTTTTTTTTTCGGAAGATATATATTTTTAATGCTTAGAGTGTTATTGCTGTACAGCACATTCCGCGAACGTCGTAAAGAAGCTGAAAGCTGGAGACTTGGCTCGCCACGCCTCAAGCAAGGTTTGCCAAGGCCTTCGCGAATTCTGGTTCTGCCCCGCTGTCACTTTCACGGGTTGGTTTGTACACCTTCTTCGTCATCCGAACCCCCTCCCCACCCCCGGCGGCTCGCCTGCCCCTCCCGGCTTCTTTTTATCCCTGTCGTTTCTGCCACCCACGATGTAAAGGTACAAGTGCTACTACGCGCCCTTCGAAGCGAGCGTCACCCTCCACCCCCCGCCGGAGCGCCCGTTCGCCTCGTCCGCCTCCTCTCTCTTCTTCGGCCGTTATTTTTTCCACCCACTCCGGGGGGAGGAGGGGGTGGAAGGGAGGGGGGGGGGGAGCACACACACCCAGAGGGAACGACGAAAACGAAGCCCCAGAGTTTGCGCAAGATAATGCCGCACCAAAGTAAGAAAGAGGAAAACAACAACAAAAGACTCCTATGTACGCCCACCTCACCCACTCCTTCCCACCACCCTGCGGAAAATGAAGCGTCACGTGGTTTCCCCTGGTTTTCCCCGGCGGGGTGTGCATCCGAGAGGTACTGCAGGGCGCAAAGTCGTCCCGCGCGGTCGGTACAGAAGCCTCGGTATACTAGTGACGACTGGCGGAAAATTCTGCTACCATGTCCGAATATATTTTTTTGGCTCCGGCGTTTCCGCCGCTTCCTGTCTGGAGGTGAGGTCGCCACAACGATGGGTCGCCACGAGCCCACGAGCACTGTCGAGGCTACTGTGGTCGATGCTCTGTCAGCTCTGTTATAAAATTTTATGCGGTCTCTGTGGTTACCCATTTACTCTGTGTCACTCACCATGCTCTTCGTCAAGTCTGCGCGCGCTGCGGGGACCCGCGCTCGTGTTCGCAGCGCCTCTGGCGTTGCTTACAGCTACTGGCAGATTGGCGTGGCCGTAGCCGTAGGTAAAGCGGTTTTCGTGGTTTTTCAGTAACTCAACTTATGTATCATCGCCACTGTGAAGTTTGGTTGTTTCGTGTGTCGTACAAGGGAATTTAGAACCCCCACTGTAGTCATGAACAAAACGACGTCCGCCAACAGTACTCAAATAACGTTAGCATACTCAAGTGCGAAGGACCCTCCGGAATTTAAAACAGAATGTGTAATCTATGGCCGGTGTACAGGTCTCACAGCATCTCTCACAGGCTCACAAGTTTCGCCTTTCCGCGCCCGCAAGTTTCAAACCACACGAATCGCGCCACATCTGGCAACCGAGGGCGCCAATCGATTCTTTCTCCTGGCTGCTTCGCTAAGCATCCGCCAGGGATGCAGCGGACGTCGCGTTCGCGCTGCTCAGCTGTGTTTCTGCCGGGGCTACGCGGCTACACAGGCGGGGGGTGGCAGGAACGATTTTTCCCCAAGTGGGCGGCAGGAGGTCCATGTTCCATCCGGAAAGGGGAGGCTCGTTGTATCCCAGTCGGCGTCGTCTCACCGGTGAAAAAAGAATGAATTCAAACATGGCGTACAGCGCAGCCATCAGTACTGCGCAGGCTGGAGTACGGGTGAGTAGACTCGGCGACGTGCCCGCCAGAGCCGCATGCATGCTTGTAAACACCGCGATCAAAACAGGACAAGCATACGCGTGTGTACCGCGAAGTTTGAATGCGCGGGCAACCGGTGATGCCGAAGCGCAGAGCACGAAGGACCTCTGTTTTTGGTTCGACATAATCAGTTTGAGTGTGCCCGATCTACGTGTTTTCTTCCGTTCTGGGGTGAGAAGTTACTTGAACGGCTGCAGGCTGGTTCGACCTCAAGCCACCCTCTGCGTTCTTGTTAAATTTCTGGGTGTCAATGAGCTGCGTCCGTGTGCTTGCTCGCCTCCGTGGCGAGAAGAGGAATATAGCAGAATCAAGGCTTTGCTTTCACATCTCTTTTATTTCGTTTTTTAGGTGGTATTTATGATTGGAAGGCGCGTCCTTTGCTATTTGTGTATTGTGGCACACTGTCTCACTGCGTCTAAATAATAAAACGGAAGTATCGTGTTTCTTCAGGGGCATATGGTTATCGCTTTCGAGACATTGTAAATTTCAGACCGCGTTTTTTATTATTATTATTATTATTTCTTTAATATCTATTTGTCGTTGGCAGGAAACTCTTTCGTAGCTGTCCGCGGAAGGCTGCGTCGACAATTAGATAAATTTGGTACTAAGCTATTGCAGTTCGAATATGTATACACTTTGTGTGTTTTTGTTTTTTTTATGTAGTAGAAGTGTTTAAAGCTGCCAGTAATATTTTGACGTTAAAGAAAGCAACAGCCCGTCACAGAAAGTAAAAATCCTTCTACTGGAGATTTAATATTGTAGTTGGTCTGACCTCGGATTATCCGGGCTTTTGCTTTCGCAACATGGACATTTAACAAGTACTTGAAAAGAATTTATGGATGACTGATTCTGAAATTAGGAATACCTCAAATTGCTGTTGTTTTGCAGAAACGCAGTCGTGTATTTTGTTTATTCAGCACAGTCTGACGGTATTGTGAGCTGGGAATGTCTTGAAAGAGCTGCCTGTATGCAGCTTGTGGGCCCAAACTGTTCACTCTGCAGCAATAAACGCAAACCGCTTTCTTTTTTTTTCTTTTTTTTTTTTTTGGGGGGGGGGGGGTATTTCGTCGAATTTCGTTTCGTGGAATTACGTTTCGTGGACAACGTTTCATGGACACACGTTTCACGGACACATGTTTCGTCGACACGATCGTTTCATCAACACCCGTTACGTGAATTGCACGCTGTAGGGACATTTCGTCACGCGTGTATCACCAAGGTGCGCGTTAACCAACGAGCGTTCAACTGGTAGCTGAAAGTGACCCCCACCTTGCGGCCGCCATATTGCACATTTTTGACCCCTAGACATGTGACCTTACATTTTTTATATATTTGCGTATTGATCTTTAACAACAGTACCGACGAGACAAGTTATGTTTCGTTTTGTTTAAGTTCAGAATGGGTGCTTTTACGACAAAAACTCGGGCAGCTTCGCAGTGGCTCCGCTAGATGCCGTAAGCTGCGGTGCTGTATTGTGGGTTTTTATCGGAACTAGACACTGATCTCTATGGCTAACAGTATTAAAAAAAAATAGGTTATCATGTTTTTTACAACGATCACAATACAAATCTCGGCTTAGTTTTACGTAAAAGCCCCGGGAATTGGTAGGGTCACAGGTCTAGTAGTCAAATTGTACATGGCGGCAGCCAGCAAAAGGGGGCCGGGGAGGGGGGGGGGGGGGGGGGGGGGAGGTC